TGACCTTTACCCTGCTAGTTTTGGTTTTGCTAGTTCATGTCCAACCCATCTTTCCTGTTCAGCTAACTTCCTTCCCTAAACTCTATGTTGATATTGGTTAGGGTAAGAGCATTACATGATCTTGGTGAACCATTCTTATCCCTCTGGTGCATTTCCAGATCCTCCTGTAGGTGCACAGTCTAGTGGGCTCTACTTTCCAAGGTGAAGTAGATGTCTTGGATGATTTCTCCCTTAACTTTCTCCAGCTTCTCAGCTTTCCATCCTTTCTCCTTCCATGAGAGCAGTCTTTACAATGTTTGATCATTTGTATGATTATAGGCTTAATTGTTTTTTTCTAACATTAGCTTTCATTAAAATAAATTTTGAATGTTCTTGATAATGTAGGCTTTCTGCCTAATTAGTAATCAGTGCTTCCCAAAACTCTCATGAATCAAACATCTTTCATATCTTCCAAGCACAAATTAATACACAAACCAAAGAAAACGAGGCAGCATCATTTGCCTATATTATATGAAACCAATTGTGTCTAAAACAGTTCTTCTGCTGTTGACTTTAGGAACATGCAGGTACAATAGAAAGAGTAGCACGATGAGCAGATGGCTAAGGTTACTTTGTCTTACCCTGGGTATTCCCCCCCCTCAAATTGTTCTGTTCCAAATCTGAAAGTCATGTCACTATATTTATATGAAAAAGGAATCCATTTATGAATCTGACAATAATGCCACATATTAAAATTTCATAGTAATGTCTAATATAACCTTCTTCACATTTTCCCTATCACTTTCTTGTTTCACAAGTTTGTTATCAATTTGTTATTGCTAGTCTTGTTAATCTCTGTTGATATGTAGGTTCCACCACTGTATCTCTCTTCACTCATTTTCCGTGTGTTTGTCTCTCCACAGTGTGCTCACGTGGAGCTCACAGTGTGCTCCACCTTTACTCTTAGCATACTGTTTGCCCTCCTATCACCTTGTAGTACAAGCTGATTCTCATCTTGTCAGGGAAAGTACAGGGGTATCTTTGTCATTCCAGAATGAAAGAAAAAGTTGCTGGGTTTGTGTTCACAAGACCCAGGAGCCAACTTCATTTCCATCTGCCTGAGATAGAACAGCTACAAGATTGCTAAAACAAAATAGCACACTAGATTAAAATACACACCAAAAAAGTTAAATCCAATTGCTTATGTTGGTAAAATCTAAGAAGCATTCTGAAATAGGGGAGATGCTTAAGAGTAAATGAGTGATTTCTAAACAGGCTAATTAAACAGGTTAATAAAAGTCAAAAGAAGTGGGCCATTATTCAGCTTTTTCTATATGGACTGGACCTTAGGGTAATTGAGTAATGGGGAGAGGCTTTTTCAATTTTAAAAAGATGAGACAGAATTAGAATACCGTCTAGTAAATCACCTTTGCAGTGATTAGCAAAGGCCACTTAGGTCATGAGAGATAACCTGGCATTTGGAGATCTCATGAGCACCCCTGAAATCCTCATTGTGGTGTTCATACTAATTGTCAACTTGAAAATAGCTGGAATCGCCTGGTGGACAGGCCTGCAGCCATGTCTGAGGGAACTGTCTTGATAAGGTTAACTGAAGTGGGGGACCTACCGAGGAGTAAAAAGTACCTGCAGGGAATTTTGGAAGTGCTATCATAGAGAAGCCTGCTAGCAAGTCAACCTCTTAGTCTCCTTGCTTTTATCTATAAAATACTTTTAGTAATCTTTATGCCACTACATAGGATTAAATGATGAAATGCATTAAACACATGTAATAAACATTACTCATAAAGAAACTTTATGATACAACATTATTAATATGCTACGACACTGCTAGCCATCCTTTATCTTCAGAGAACAGAACTATAAGGAAACGTAATTCAGAAGCCCTTGGACTCTAATGAGAAAATCCAAAGAAGCTTACAGAATACTTTCAGAAAGCATTAACCATTTCATCTCAGTTACGCAATAGTACTTTCTTTTCTGTGCTTTCAAGTCTAAAGCATTTTTTATTTCTAATATTTATACTTTTATATCAAAAGTATATTTTCTGTAGAAACCCCTTTATTAGTTATTAAATGACTAAATCATGAGATGTTGTATGATTTTTTCTGGGAAGATTTCTGGACATATTTCTACTCAACCCAAATATGGCACCAGTAACAGCTGGAAAAAAAAAAAAGTAACACCAGTGTCCAAGTTGGTGAACCAGTAAGTTTCCTGGTACCACTTACATGAGAATGGATGACTCAAAAACATCTACATGACCAAAATCCCACCCAACTCACAAAAGCTGCAGTGCTGGAACTCTGCTCCATGTGAAGGCAGCTTGACCAGTGGGAGAGTTTTCTCTCCACAGCATTGCTCAGCATTTTTATAACTTTGGTGAAAGAGGGACCTTGAGAATCTGTTAAGTTTTAGGGACTTCCTTTGATAAGATTTGTGAGTTGCTTTCTTCCTGAGTATTAAAGAGCCTTTTTCTGGGATGGAAAATTTTGATTTAGAACTTCCTGAGCCTTAGCAAGTCTCCCTACATTGTGGAGTGTTTCAGTCTTGCGGAAATTGCTGCACAGTGTGTGTGTAGCTATGCGCTGGCAGTTCTCACTTGGGCAAAAGGACTCTCTGGGCTCCCACTACCTAAAGAAGTAATGTCGTACATCGGCTACACACAAAATCTGTAGTAAAGAAAAGTCTGAGTCCAAGTGCAAAATGCCTCCACTGTGAGGCTGTTTAATCATTCATAACAACTAAACCATGTTTATAAGAAAAATGTCCAGATACACAAGACACTGTTGACATTACAAAGCAAATGATTTTCTTCACCCCTGAACCATGGGTGAGAACTAAAACTACTTAAAATGGGTTTCTTTTCCACTCATCCTACTAAAGTAAGTAATTACTAGTCATCACCATTACCATCATCACTGTTCAATCATCTACTCAATCAGATAGTAAAGATAATATGAAAATTAAATTAATGCACATTAAGTCTGTAACAGTACAATTTATAAAACAAGTTTTTAGTCTTGGTATATAAGACATAATAGTATTTCACTCAGTGTTAATCTAAGACAAATTGCCACAGATAACCAACTTATAAAGATGACAAGTTTATTTTTGCTTGAAATTTTCCAAGTTATAGTCCATGATACATTGGCCTCCAAAGCACTTGGACCTGCCTGTGGTTAGCAGAGGGTGAGCTCATGGCCAAACCACATAGCAAAACAAAACCTCTTTCCTAATGACCAGAGAACAAAAGAGGAAGAAGTGACCAGAATCCAAAATACCTCAATTTCTTGGAGATCACTGTAAGCCTTACCTCTGAATAATAGCCCACATAGACTAATACGCTAACACTCAGGCACCTGGGAATATTCAAGATAACAACTATCACCCTGCCATGTGACTCTATGGGGTGTTGTTGTTTGGTTAGTTTTGTGTGAGCAGATTTGGTTATTGGTTGCTTATTTTGCAATTCTGAGGATCAGACCCAACCTGGGATTCAGACATGCTAGGCAATAACTCCACCACTGAACTATTCTCTGGCCACAGTCTAGACTCTAAGAATTTATTTGAAACTATATTCCAGACGTAGGCTATGAAGTTCCAATGAGATTAAACTATTTCTTCAAAGCCACGTTAATTCAATGGTGACTTTTGTATAATAAGTCCAGACTAACTGACAAGAGCAGGGTTAGATTTCCCCAACCAAGAGCTCTGGAAACCAAGGGACCATGGCCCCCATGGAAAAGAATGTCCAATGGCATTTGGGCAGAGGCTCATCTGCCTACTCTTCTTTCTTGGGCTTCCAGGCTTAAGCCTTCCTTAAGGAAGCAACAAGGGTGGAGCTCACAGGCAACACAGAGGAACCTCAGGCCTTCCTCGAGAAATCTGCTACAAAAGAAACAGAGATCTTAGCAAGTTAAGAGTGTGTAAAAAGTAACAGAAGGATATTAGAAGCAAATGGGGCCATAATTCCATTTTTAAAAGAATTATATACATATATTGCTTCAAGAAAAATTTGAAGTCTATGGTTATATTTTTAATTTAAAAGTTGAATTACATACTTACTATTAGTGAAGTTACCCTTCTGAAGGTGAGTTTACATCTACAGGCTCAACCAAGCATACATAAAATATTTGAGGGGGGAAATACAATTGCAACGTTGAATATGCACAGATGTGTTTCTCATCTCTAAACCACATAGCACAGAAACTCTTTCAGAGCATTCGTATGGCTTTTTTAGGTTAAGCAACCTATAGATTATTTCAAATACACAGATTTGCATAGAATTCCACAATTCTATTAAATGGACATGAGCATGCACAAACTTTGGTACCTGTGGGGTGATCCTGGAACCAGTCCCCCTCTGTGTGCCAACAATGCCTTTAGATACATAGTTTTGAAATAAATCTCAAATTGTTATTACAACTATGTGCTTATGACTTTGGATTTTGCACGCAATTTCACTCTCCTCTTTCCTTCCCTTTTCCTATAATATATGACTCTTTGGTGAGTTCTAGCTATTTGATAGAAAATACTTTTAGTATTGAAAACTCAGATTATTGAAGAGAAGATAGTTGTATCTTTGTATATATTATCCACATTCCACTGAGGACTGTTTATTTAGGGCATGAATTTGTAACCAGGATGGCACATTCAACGAAGGTCCTCATTGTCAGGCAACGAGAAGTAGATAATGGAAAGTTAAGCATCAGCCTGTATAGAACCTATATGGAAAAGACTTCAAAGAGACAAAAAAAAAAAATGTGTCTTCTAAAATGACAGTATTATTCCATCTTTAGGTGTTGCTCTACCTGCCTCTTTATGATACTTTGTTCCATGGAATGGACTGACAAAGTGTCAGAATGAGCACTTGGAAGATAGTAAGAGGAGTCACCCTATAGCAGGGGAGACTTCAGAAAAGGTCACAGTGTGTCTTTCTGAAGTCATCCCGGTGCACTTCTCTCTGTCATTTGGCTCATTGTCTGTTATGATCTCCTCAGGTGTCATCCTCTACATCTTGCTGGTGGGGTACCCACCCTTCTGGGATGAAGATCAGCATAGGCTGTATCAGCAGATCAAGGCTGGAGCTTACGATGTATGTAATCAGTACTCATATGGCTTTGGATGAGGGTTGGTTGATTTACTGCCAAAGGGTTGTTGTTCTTATTTTTTAAATAATAATTTTATATTCTGTCATTTAGCAACTAAGGTGAGATAAATATCTCTTAACACATGAAGAGAATTATATATAGCACAAAATATACTTATGTGCAAGGAACATTATCAAGAGTAGTTATTATGATAAGCATTGGATTGGTGTAAAAGGCTTACAATTTCCGTCCATGAATTTTAAGTCATTATAACTATAACTCAAATACATTTTTATTAATCAAAATAGGAAATATTATAAGCAACGTTTTTGACGGGGAGAAGTAAGTTTTTCTGTTGTGTAAAAATTCATGCTTCAGGAGTCAGTGACTTTTTGGAAAGCATTGTCTGCATCCTGTTGGTTGTAGAAGTATTTTTTTAGATATTTTTGAAGATGTGTGGTCAGTTGGGGAGAGGCCAGGTGGCTGAAATAGATGCGTTAACGCTCCATATCCCGGGTTCGTTCAAATTTTAAAACATCGTGACGTGTGTGTGTTGGGGGGTGTCATAAAGAATTGCATAGCTGTAAGTACTGCAGTTTTTGGTGAGTCTCATCCATTTTCTGAGCACACTACTCAGATGTAATAGTTTCCTGGGATTCAAGAAGCTGTGGTGGATCTGATTAGCCTCAAATGGCCCAACAGTGACCACAGCCTTTGGGGGGGGTGCAAATTTGGCTTTGGGAAATGCTTTGGATCTGCTTCTTGGTACAGCCACTGTCCAGCCAATTGTGATGTACAATCTACCCTTTTTCAAATCACCATATGATAAGAAAAGGTTTCTTGTTGGGTAGAATGAGAGATGAGACAGTTTAAGATAATTTCTTTCTCCAGTCAGCTCATGGGATACCCACTTAAGATCATGGCTCTCTTGTAAGCTTTATATCTAGTTAAATGTTTTAGAAATTCACACATTAATATTTCAGATATGCTAATGTCAAAGTCAGTGGATCAAACTGAAAATAAATATGACCAACTTTGTAGCACTAGCCGTTGGTATGAATTGAACTATTTTTTTTAATACAATGAGAAATTTTATGAAGCAGTGCGCTGCTTACAGAAATGGGGAGTTTTCTACTTGACTGTGTGTGTGTGTGTGTGTGTGTGTGTGTGTGTGTGTGTGTGTGTGTGTACGCACCATTGTTGTTTTTAAGAGAGGAGCTCTTGCATGCCAGGTTATCCTTGAGCTTGCAGTGTAGCTGAGCATTGTCTAGATGTCCTGATCCCCTGCCTCCCCCATGTTGGGATTATACACATGTACCAACATGCTTGGTTTCTGTTTCTCTTTTTACAAACCTTTTACTAATTTCTATCTTTGAAGTTTCCATCACCAGAATGGGACACAGTGACTCCTGAAGCCAAAGACCTCATCAACAAAATGCTCACCATCAACCCTGCCAAGCGCATCACTGCCTCTGAGGCTCTGAAACACCCATGGATCTGTGTAAGTCACTTTCCCGTGTGCCCCAGGAGCCAAACTGAAGAATAAACTCTTAGCCGTTTTTTATAGATTTCAAATAATCTTAAAAAAAAAACAAAGAGAGATGGAGCTTAATGCATTTTTGACTCAAGGTTTTTAAGAAATGAATTTTATAATAGTGAAAGCCACCATTGCCTATAACAAACTCAAAATGGTACCAGTGGCTAAATAGGTATTGTCTGCAGTAACAGGATGAGTAGTTCCCATGCAATTCTTGGTAAGACTCATGAACAGGGAATAAGAAAATGATGCCAAGGCTTACTGCATCCAACAACGAAAAAGGTTCCATAGTCCAATTATTTGTCATTAAGCAGCTTTAGAAACATATGAGGTTTAAAAGCTAGAACTAGTTTTAGGAGAGACAGGATGGCCACAGTAGTCTGAATGTCTTGTAGAAGCCCTAAGGAAAAAGAAAGGAAATTGTAAGGGGATCTAAAAACTCCTCTAAATTCCTAGGATTGAGAGTCAAATATTTAGGTAATGACACAATGCTAAATAAATGGAAGGTGTTCTAATAGAAATGTAACAAAATGCTTACTGAAATGATGATCTGAGCGGTTAATGATCAACATGTCTGTACCCACTATTAATCAGTGTTTGAGATCCATCAGTAATAGTCTTTATAAAACAATGCTTTTTGTAGGTAACTTTGGCAGGTGGATGCTGCAAGTTGACTCTAGGCATGCAGGCACCATTAGTAAAGATTGGATGAGACTCTTTCTTGTCCTTGGAATGCTTTATGTATCTTCATGTCACTCTTTCCCCTTTTCTTCTAGCAACGCTCTACTGTGGCTTCCATGATGCACAGGCAGGAGACTGTAGACTGCTTGAAGAAATTTAATGCTAGACGGAAATTGAAGGTAAGAAATTTGAAATTGTTGAGGGGGGTTGCTTTGGTGAGGTGAGAAGAAACATACTGTAAGGAGACATTTTACCAGAGCTTTTACTATTTCAGGTCTCAATAGTCAGTCCTCCTTGATCTGATGGAAGCTGAGAGTGCTCCATTACCAAGCCTGGGATGAGAAGTGTATTGTGGTTTCTCTCCTCAGAGGAAGCAGCTGTGTAGTGTGATGGTCTAAATCTGGCTCAGGCAGTTAGGGCTGTCCCAGCATCCTGAGAACCACAGGCTAGGGCTCTCAGGAAACAACAACAACAACTAATAAAGCAAACAATCTAAAGTCCCCTATCAGAAAATAAAAGAAGGAGATTTGTTAGTTCCTGCTACATGCTTTTATGTCAGAGATTTATACAGGCGATTATGATCTTGTTCTCTTATTTCTTTGATAGGGTGCCATCTTGACAACTATGCTGGCTACGAGAAATTTTTCAGGTATACACATTTGAACTCACCTCTTTGTCCTCAGCCTTTCTATAGTCTTTGAGTCTTTAAGGAAATTTAGAAGGTCTAGTAACTACAAATAGTTATCACACACAACACACACACATATATATACATGCATATATATGTGTGTGTGTGAAGAGAGAGAGACACACACACACACAGAGAAACTCCTTGTACTCCTGTAGCTGTCTGTAGGATACCATGTAGACCGAACACCCACTTGTCAAATGCTGGGGTCATTCTAGTATAGTAAGTATGTCTCATTTTAAAGCTGAGCATTTCAAACCTGGAATTTATTATAGATTGATGTTTCATAAGTAACCACAAGGATGCTTTATTTCCTGACTACCATAAGCAATTATAATACGAAGACTTAAAAATGAGTCATCTTATGGAACCCCATTGTCATAAGCCTAATTCCTTTTGAACTAAGGTAGTAGTGACCTCACATTCTTTAAGACTAATTACAGGGCTAACCCTGACTAATGAGGAAGTACAAAGGACCTACCACATGGGTAAATGGGATGTCATCCAATAACAGTGTTCCTCAACATGATAGCATGGGGAGAATAGTAGGAAAAAAGAAGAAAATCTTACATATGAACTAAATTCAGCCAAGATGTTTCTTTTCTTAAAAGTGACTCTACAGAATGGAGGCATCATGTGTGTTACTTCCAGAAAATTATTTTTAAGTTCTGGGCCTTCTTTGATAGTTTATATAGAAGTAATAGGCATTCAAAAGTCAAATGTTGTTAAGTGCTAACCAGACATATATAGATTGAACTGAAGCAGCAAATAAACATTTGATAAACTGATAATATGGGGACAGGTCATCAGGTGGTACATGTCATTAATCCCAGCACTCAGGAGGCAGAGGAAGGAGGAGCTCTGTGAGTTCAAGGCCATTTTGCTGTCCATAGAGTTCTAGGCCAACCAAGGTACTTAGTGAGACCATGTTTAAAAAAACAAAAACAAAACCAAAAACAACCTTATAGATTAGATGTTTAGTCTTAGAACAATTGTCAAAAAGAATGCTACTTTTGCTTTTGGATAGTGACATGCAGCATTTAGTGGCGTGTTCTGACTTTATTTTGCCTAGCCAGGAATGTAAAGTGATGATCAGGCAAGCATTGTCATATGAGTGTCAGCCAGTTCCTAGTTATTGCTTAGACCTCGATTAACAGGCCAGCCCTCCTTCCCACTTGGAAACAATATGAAACCATAGGTTGGTGAGCAACAATCACACCATGCTAGCACAGTGCCAGCACTATCAGGTGCCCTGCTGCTTAGCTGTTGTGTGTTCTGTCCAATGTGTTTGGTCTGATAAGCCACGCTGCTGCCTTTGTCAAGTTACTTGTTTTCTAAATACCTGGCTAATGTGATTGACATTTATGTGTGTGAGCTCAGTGCCACTTCGTTAAGCAGTAACCAATATACATGACCTTAAGTTAAATAGAAACTTCACTGTGGCCAGTACTCAGTGAATCACTAGAAATGCAGACTTACATAGTATATGTTGCTAAAGAACTACCTTTTCAAAGATTTTCCAGACTTGAAATTGTATAGTTTGTTTAAGTGTTAGATACAGAGTTAAGTGTAAATTGGGTCTTTATTAATAATTTTTATGCCTTAGTGTATCTCATGTGTTTTTTTCACCATTCTGTAAACTAAAAAACCATGACTAATATGTGGGTTTGGTAATGTCTCTGAATGTTTTCGCATGAAAAGCAAACATTTTCACCCATCACTTCTAAACCAGCTGAACAACATGAGACTCAGTTTTATCTTCTCATTACATCTTGTAGTTGCATTTTAGTTTTGAGCATTTTATTCATTCTATTCATTGCCAAATATACTCTTTAAGTAATCTGTCCATAAGTATGTGGTTATAAAGTTGTTTTTATTTCTTCTTTTCTCCCTGAATGTGGAATGTATTTCTTGTGAGGTAAGGTAGTAGTCACACAAGGGATGGCTCTGCATCTCCCAAGCCAGACCGCTTCTTACCCCAAATCATTGTCTTCTTTTTGCTTGCTATTGCAATTCAAATTATTCTGTTTGTTTTCTAACCTATTAACTACCCCCAAGAGTTCCTTAGTGTTCCTGTTTAACTCCAGGCAAACAGTACTAAGTCAACTATTGGATAGCAATCTCAATCTATAAAAATTAATGGCTTTGTTGCCAAAAAACAGATAAAATTAATATTTGTGCATGTCAAGTAAATTCAAAATGTTGCTAAATTGAAAACTAAAATAACATCATAAACCAAAGAACTTTCAATAAATGAAATGTTCATGTAGTTTCATTACAACTAGGTGGTTCATTTCAAACATCATGCTCTGTGTGCATAATTGACTGTGTCTATTAACATTAAATGGAACTGTGTACTTTGTCCTCCATATCTGTGAGTGTTCTACACCAGTGTACTAATTATCCTTGTAGTTATAGTGGCTGTTCATTGTGTATATATACATCTTAAAAGGATGCTTTCTAGTTTTAATAGACTGAAGAAATTTGTTAATAACACAAGTAATTGCTTAAGCGCCCTGGAAAAAAGCAAGTTTTCTATGAGAACCCACACCTTAAAGGATTCATTTAGTTTTTAGATCTTGTTCCAAATGTTATGGTTTTTAATTTTTCAGTTCAAAGACCTTTGTTTAGGAACCCTTTGTATTCTGATTTTGAAGTCTAAACAAACACAGAATACATTTTTGTTATTACCATATGCTAAACATTTAAAAATTTGCTCCTGGTCTAAAGGTACCATTTGACTTTATACAGATACTTGTATTTTCAGTCCATCTGAACTTGTCTGATTTCGAAAATATAGAAAAGACATTGTTTAGCCAGAGCAAATTTTTGCGAATGAGATATCAACCTCTGAAAAGAGGGGCTTCAGTGGCAGAACTGACATGGTCACCAGACCTGGTGTGAATGAATATGTAATGGGTCTGTTTGCTGGTGTCTAGAGACTGAAACCAACTTTCTGGATTATGAAGGATGGTCCAGTGAAAGTTCCAGTATCCTTTTCAGGACCAACAGTGACATAAAGTCTAATGCACAGCTGGCAAGTGTTCAATTTCATGCCATGAACTATGTAAGAATTTATTTCTAAATTTGCTGTGGCAAAACCAGAAAAGTGATACTGTATTTCAGTGTCCTGTAAGCTCTTGCTCATCAGTGTGGTCTTGATGGTTTGGTCTATGTTGGACATTAATCAGCCAAGGTGGCAGGAGATGCTAACTTGATTTGTCATCTCACTGGGGGTTTGTGCATTAACTCGCTGAAGAGATTTTGCTCTCATTTTGCAGCAGCCAAGAGTTTGTTGAAGAAACCGGATGGAGTAAAGGTAAGTTAAGCGGCTCTCTTAAACTGTTTCTTACTTTCAGATGCTGTAGAGTTTAAATATTACCAGAACATCCCAAGTCAGTAGAGCATCTGTACTTTACAGTTTCCAAAAGAGGGTGCAGGCTGAAGCATGAGACCATTTAATGCACAAACATGATTATCATTTGTGCTGACCAACATCCAATCCTTTCACTAGATTAAATATTAACTATGAAAAACAATATTTTTGATACACCCACTATATAAACTGAATGTCTAAGTCCTCCCTACTTCCCTGCAGTCCCAAGTCACTCTGGTGACCTAAGAATCTGCAAACACCAAATGCTTTTCTGAGTAATTATGATGTCTACTTGAAGCCTACCAAAACCTGAGAACAAACTCAGTCAGTCTGAGAAATCAAGGCATCATTGACTAAGTGTCCTATTTGGGCAGTTTTTTTTTTTTTTAAGTCCTTAATTTCCTTGTGTTTCACTTGTAAGGATTAGAGATGTATTCAGGGTGCCTACCCTGTACAGATGATACTAGGAAAACCTTCCAAGAAAGATGACAACAAATATTTTTACTTTCTTAGATTTCTAACCACTATAATACAATTTTGTTTCTACTGATAATATCTTTAATAGAAAGTAACTTCCTATTTGCATAATAATCTTTGTTATCTTTCCAGAATATCACCTAAATATCTTGTTAATTATTTTCTTTCTTTTCCAATGGCAGATGCATACATCCTTCCACAGGTCAACACTTTTGGGAATTAATTAATACTCTAATCATTGAACTGGACCCAATCAGGTGGCCAGTTCATATCGAAAAATGTAACATAGAAAGTCCTTTGTGGTTTTGTTCCTAAATTCATACGGAGTCATTGCCTTACCACCTGTTTGTGTGTGACTTGAGAATTTCCAATTCTGAGGTCACTATGCCCTGTGCTTGCAAGGTCGCCATTTCTCATTCTTCAAGCTAAATGTATCTTCCATCTGCTTATTTCACTCATTAAAGGTTCCAATAATGACAGTGGATGTCTGTCCTTTCCACAATGTGACCTTGGTGAAAATGGGCATTTTTAAGTTTCCAAATTTTCCTTCTGGGTTCTCTGCACTACCCAGTGATGGAGAGCTCACAGGTCCAATCAAGTTATTCTCACTGTTATCCTGATACAAAAGCACTTTGAGAGCCGTTTGCCTCCAGCCAACTCCACCTCTTCAACAACAAAATTATTATGTATTCCATGCTTTTGTCACATTTTTGTTTTCTCTTCCTTTCTCTTTGACTGGTCAATTCAGAAAAGGAAGTCCAGTTCGAGTGTTCAGATGATGGTGAGGATCTGTGTCTGCCAGATTTCTCCTACTGGGAAAAATACACACTTAGAAATGAAAGTCTCATTTACCTGAGTTAACGGAAGTAGAAAAAGTGTAAGAGCATCATAGGTCAGCGCTAATCGGCACTCATAACATGCTCCTCCGCTTTCACATTACATTGGTTTTCTGTGGTAGACTTTTCCAGGTAAATAAGAAGTTGAGCCCTTATCTGTATGCTGTTATTGAGTTTGATCATCTGTGAGAACAAAGTCCGATTTTCTCTTTGAAAATAAGGAAGCTAGGACATAATGATTGTTTACTCATACAGGAAGAAATGCTGTAGGGTTATTTCTTAATTGATCATCATAATCACTAAATTAATTCAGACGTAACTTAATAATCTTTCGTGACTTTGAAAATAATGTGAAAGTGATTTCAGCATGGGCCCATTGCTAAGCTTCTTTGAAAGGAGTATGTATTAACTGAAGAAATACAACACCTTGTTCATGCCTCCTGAGAGTAATGCTGTATCATTTAAACATCTGATTGCATTCAGGTTTCAAACGAGAAAAATACAATGCTTCCATAGTGTAAAGTACATAAATTCACATGTACACTTAAACAACTATGGATGAACATGGTGCTTGATAACTGACTCTTTGAAAGTTAGTTCTCCTGGCTTTTACATAGAATTAACTTATTATTTTGAAGTAATGTTTTATATATATTTATATATATGTATACCTCCAAAACATGGTGGTGTGTATGTTGTTCATGAATGAATGTGTACCACGGATGGAGTAGTCATGCACTTTGGCTGACAAGTCTTTGTGCATTTAGATACAAATGAGTCACATTTTCACTGAAATAAGGCAGTTCTTTGCACTTATATCCTAGGAGAAAAGTCTTTCTCCTTTCAAATCAGGACAAACAGCATTGCGGAGTATTTCTCTCTCATTTGCATCTACTGATAAACCCTACACATGTTAAGTGCATGTGGCACTTTAATCACAAGTGTCCTCTTGCCTGGACAAACAGTGGCTAGCTTCATCAAGCACTCTTCCTGAACAGAAAGCTGCCCGAGGGCATCCCTCTACTGTGTAATGCAGCCTGTAGCACATGAGCACATTCTGATCCCTCTGGAGCAGGGCCCCCCAGATCCTTACCTCCCATCTCTTTTGGGCTGCTGCACACATTTTGTGTTCAATTGATTTAAAGAAAAATACCCAAAGCTATTTTTAAAATACAGGTCGGTGTAGTAATCTTTAATAAGTTATCTTGTTAAAGGGGCTTTTTAACACTTTCTCCCTGCATTGCACAGAGCACTGTGTTGTAACTTATTAAATAGTGCTTGTACCAACAACCACACAAAGGTGAATGAAAACAAAAGCCAAGCATCTACCTGAGTACATTTCTGTTCCCTTCTGTCCTCTTCTCAATGACATCTCCAAAATAGCCTTAGAACAGTCACTTGTAAACAACCATTTGATATATAGTCCATGTCCCTATTTAAGTTCACAAGTATACTTACATTCATATTAAAAATATGGGTGTATCCCTTTAGAAAATAATATCCAATATAAATGCCTACATAACTTGATATGCAAGAATGAATGTGAATTTAAGTTTTTGTTTGATAACCATAATAATATGCTCTACATGGGCTTAACATAAAATGGTTTATTACATGTCAGTGTTTTATTATTTACTTCCAAACTCAATAGAGTTCCAAGCTCCCGCATGTCTATGTAGAATCTTCTCTGTGGCCATTACCGTATTTATTGGCCCCATTAGCTTCTTTCAAAACATGGCTCCCATGGTAGTAACACATCTCCTTTAAGGATAAACTCACCTGTGTTGTTGAAAGGGTTTGGTCCCACTAGACAATAATAATGGAACATGGTAACCTAATGAGCTGTTTTTTCAGGCAACTGTGGAAAAAAAGTTCTTTCACACTCAGGCTACAATTTCTCCCACTTAATCAGAGAAGATGTATTCCTAAAGGAGCCCCAAACTTACCGTTTTCAATAAAACACTTTAATGTCTGAATTATGTCATGAGAGCCAGATTTTAATTGGATGTCTAGTAAACAAAGTAATGATAGCTCCCCAGGGAAACATGGTCTGTGTGTAACTTCAGGCTCCAGAATAAAATAAATTTTTAAAAAAAGATAATAAAATAATGTGTTCATAGCAGTGAATAATTGGAAACTTGGAAATAGAATCTTACTTGAAGAGTATGAAAATGGCTACAGCTTCATCATACTCTGCAGCTTAGTTTGGTCTCACTGAAGCCACTCAGAGGAAACAGCACACCCAAATCAGACACTGCTGGTCTCATTTTTGCATCAAAGGCTGTGTGTGACCTTCAGGGACTAGACGTGATCATTCATGTCCCTCATTGCTTTCTTTCCCATTCACCTCCAGTGGCTCTTTATTTTCATGTCTGCATTTCTGTGTAGACATGCTACTTGTAGGCATTGGCTACCAAGAAGATTAAGGCATCTCTGTTTCTATTTTCTGCATATCCACAGATAAACAACAAAGCCAACGTGGTAACCAGCCCCAAAGAGAATATTCCTACCCCGGCGCTGGTATACCTGGATTCTTGTACCCTTCTTAAGTTCTGCACTGTTTGCTGTTGTTTCTCTCGTTTGCTTTCACTAAATCAATATCTATGTATCGATACTTCATTTGTTGTTAAATTGTTTTGTTTTTTGTTGTTATTTTTTGTTGTTGTTTTCTTTTCAAAAATAGAAGAAAAATTTACTTGGTTTGCTTTCCTTTTCTTGAGATAGTTGTCAAGCAGTGTGTTTCTAACATGAGACTTCTCATTTCATTGTGGAACATCATGCTTTTCTCCGCAGTTGGAATTCTTGCATGCTGGCTTGGAAACGCAGTAGAATGCACTTCGGTTACTCTTAGCTCTTCTGGTGATGATTGCTACCAATCGTAAAAACAATGGTTTCTCTTTCCGCCAAGAAAGTGTTGACATCAAGGAGAGCTAACAGGATTCTTGCAAGATGACATAAAAAGTGGACCTTATTCAGAGTTTCCATTTCGCCCGTACTGAAAGACTCCATGGCTTTGCAAGACTTCACTTTCTGAGATAAAGAGGCACTGCATAAGTCAAACCTTTTTGTTTATTGTGTTTCCATTAAATTGGCACTGTTTCACTTTCTTCTAAAGAATGAGAGTGTATAACACAGAAGTTTAAACTATCAATGACAGTTTGTTCACTTCAATCAAATATACAAACTTAACAACTAAGTCAGTTCTACACATTGGAATGGTGTTATGTTAAAATTTAAAATCTGAATACTGACATTTAGTATATGGGATTGTATAAGATTTTCTTCAAATGTTTTCATAATTTGACTTATGATTCCCGGAAATTATTTTTATTCATTACTCTCCCCAGACTCTTATTGTCATTGACTAAAAAAATGTTAGGCATGAATGTTATTTGGGTTAACCAGTAATAGATTCAACTTAAAAACATTTGAAGGAAAAGACAAGATACAGGGTTTTCAGGGCTGAGACCATAACTTAGTGGTAGAACATTTTCTTAACTTAGAAGAAGCCCTGGGGTTCAATCCCTACCCCTAGAAGGGAAAAATTTTTTTCCTAAAAAATTATTAAGAAAAAAAGATAGTAGGTTATGTACTAGTAAGGCCAATGTCACAGCTCAAGCCACTAAAGGAAAGAAAAGAAGCAATAGTTGTGTTTTTCTAAGTGTGCATTGCAAGCTTTCCCTTGGAGACATTCCTGCAAAGAAGGTTGGCCATGGTTACAGCCACTTACAGGTGCTAACGTACCCATTAACGCACACAGCAATCATGCTGTTGCTGTGTGCACCCTCAGTCTATCCTTTTTTACATCAGTATTTGAATATTATTTTACACTTAAGAATATTTCTCATACCAAGCTATGCAAGTTATATGAAAATAACAGTTTCTTCATGGAAAAAGATTACCTAACAGCTTACTATTCTGTATATGAAGTTTATAAAGTAGAAATTTTCATTTCCATGTGATTAGTATAGGATGTATCCACAGTGTTTCTAATGAAAACATTTTACGACTGGTTGGTTCTTAAAACTATTTAAATAAACTTTTAAAGTATTCTTTAGAAGTTTTTTCATGAGCTTTGAAATGTATTCTTTTGGACAGTTTTGTAGGGTTTTTTGGTTGTTATTTTTTTTAACTGTGGTCCAGTGTTTCAGGATTCTCCAAGGATATTCAACTGTGTTGATTACAATTACATCAGAGTCAAGTCCCAAGGCAATACAGCTGAAAAAAATCTTCACAAAGAATTTGATACCTTCTCAAATAATTCTATCTATGGTATTCTTGGCCAATTTTTGTGAGACAGAAGGCAGTAGTAGAGTATCCAGTACAGAAGAAAGGACATCTCTGCCTGGCATAGGGCCTGGTGAAACAGCAGGTGCCTCTTTAGGTCTCCAAACTGCAAAGCCCTGCCTGTTCATTCATCTATCAGGAATAAGGTCTTTTGCATGCTGCTTCTGGGTAGGGAGGTGTGTGATCTCTTGACCTCACCAGGGAGGCCTCCTCAGAGATCCTGTCAGCTGTTGACAGCCCTTGACATGGCTTTAGCTTTGTCATTATTTGGTCTTGTCTGTCGGCTCTCTCTGCTCGGTCCCACAGACTAGTAAGAATGTACTTAACAATGCGAATTGTTTCTTTCTCTATTTTGTTCTCACTCAGGAGCCCCAAACTACTGTAATCCACAACCCTGACGGAAACAAGGTATTCAGAAAGAATCAGCACCATTTGCTTTGATAAGATTACCCATCTCATCAAATGCCCTGTGCGAAACCAATTCATTATCTCAAGTGGGAACGAAAAAAAATTATCCCTCTTGTCATTATCATGTGTTCTTTTTTGGCCTAATTAGTCTAGAATTATACATAAACTTCTTTCAGATCAAAGTGAATGATAGCCTGAGAGAGAAATCAGTGATATCTTAGTGAATAAAAAAAGACAAGGGTCAGGTTCAACATTTACAGTCTTTCTGTAGGATGACTGGACCTTAGATAATTCCATGTGGTCTTTTTATTTCCCTGTACCTGTCCATGAATTGTGTGACAAACACACACAGCATGAAATTTCAGAATTTCTTGCTTTCATTCCATTGTCTTCAAAAATAATGACTTTGTTTTTTTCCTTAAAACTTAATGTTGTTTTTGAGCTTTTCATGTGTCTTCTGTTCTGTTGTTGGAGTGGTTTTGTTGTTGCTGCTGTTGTTTGCTTGTTTGTATACTCCTGTCACTGACAATATTGCTGGTGGTGTTACTGTTTGCCATGAATTTGAAGAGAATTGGGGTTCCATTTCTTGTTAAATATGTTTGTTGTCTATCTATATGAATTCCAGTAACAGATAGTAAAGTATTATGATGAATGAAGACTAATATGTTCCATCTATTATAAATTTTGTGTACACCATGTTAATACCAACACTTGCACACATGTCTGAGGGAATAAAGGAGACGTTTTCTAAATGTATTCTATGTCCACATTATAATTTGTTATATACTATCATATCTAAGGGGAGGAAAAATTGCATGACTTTTCTAAGGTACTGAATATACTCACAGGTCTCTTCCTTCCTCTAATGAACAATGTTGAAAGATCAGGAAGTATGTTTCATCTCTGGTTCAATATTTCACATACCCATGTTGAAAACAAAGTGTTTTATGGTCTTAGTCTGAGAAATATATTAGTGTCATAACACTGGAGATGTTCTAGGTCCTAAAAAAGTTTTGAGGTAGCCAGGGCCAGCACATATGAGAACAATCCCATTAATGGCACTACCAAATGAAAAACCAGGCATAGCAGCTGGAGCGGACACTGCCATAATTCTAGCTCTGTCATTTGTAAGAGTTGCTGCATGGATTTATTGCTTACATGAATTCATTTGTTCTTAAGTGCATGGGTTTAACCTTCATTTTGAGTTTAATTCTGTATGCCACATCACATTAAAGAAATGCATGAATATTTTTCCTTGGTTTGTATGTGTGGAGACTCTGGACAGTAGCTAATTTATCTCCTTTGTTTAAATGTTATAAAAAGTATCTATATAAATAGATAGCTTTCCAAAAATATTGAATCTATAAATGGACACTGACTTATTATTATTATTATTATTATTATTATTATTATTATTATTATCTTCCAAAACTTGTTTTCCATTCACTGAACAACAAGCTATTGACTGCAAATTTGGTCCCAATTATTTTCAGCTCTGATCTTTAATCATTCCAACTGGAAAATGAATAGTTATGAACACTGCGACATGTCTTTTCTAGAAAATATTTCACTGGTACATTTTAACGAAACTACTTTTAGAAATGTGATCTTACCACCAGCAGCTGAAGTGCACTTTAAGAGTGCTTGCTACTCTTCACCTTAATCTGTAGTTTTACAAAGAATTTTGTCTTTTTTCATTGTGGGAAGAGACTTCTTTTTGAGTGACTGTTTCTGAGTTAGAAAAGAATAAAAAAAAAACAGTCTAATTGATCTTAAAATTAAATTATTCTGTATGATTCCAGTGTCCTGAAACATAAGCCAGTAACAGTTTTTGACAACTATAGTCAGCCTGGCTCAGCTTGATAGCCCCAGCTTCTGAATCAAATGATGGAGGAAATGCCTTTTCTCTACAATGATGGTGGGTAGGCACACAGTTGCAAATTCTGGCCTTCACACAGTGCCCAGCACAAAGGTGCTCTTTGCTGACTGGTTTGTTAGGGATAAACCATTTATTCTAAGTTTCCAGTTTATTCTCCTAAAATATTCCATTTTTCCTCCTAAAATCACACTGTTTGAGGCTTTGTAATATGAACTCATCTTCCTCAATTTTTAAATAAACTACATCCTTCTTGTACTTGTACAAATCACCTGGATTTACCCGGCCTCAGTGTCTAGGTGGCCAGAGGACTCCCTTTGAAATGTTTGCAGCATATGATGTCTTGTTTCTGTTGAGTAATCACTTGATGTATTTGTCTGTTTGCATGTCAGCATATGCACACAACCTGCTGAAGAAATTTGCATGATATGTATGCACCACCAGCCAAGTTTGTCAGAAGAATCAACAGTTTGTTGTGTGAAGTTTAACACTGTCTTTTCTTCTCACCAGGAGTCAACTGAGAGCTCAAACACCACAATTGAGGATGAAGACGTGAAAGGTAGGCTTGAGCCAAAAACCGGGAAAGCCCTAACCTAGACCTCCTCATCCATTACAGCATGCCTGATCCAAGTGACCAATAAGTTCAGATTCCAAAGAAGGCTTGTCCCAAAGAAATTCATTTTTGTTTTATGAATACATTATTCTGAATAATGAACCACTATGACTATGTCAATGGTTTTCACATTTTGTATGTTTTAAATTTAAAACTATGATCTGTGCAACCATATTGTTGACATCACAGCTAACAATGACTTTTTTTAAACACATCAGTCAAATAGCCTAGTGGTGGTGGCCTCTAATCCCAACATTCAGGAGGCAGAGGCAGGCGAATCTCTGTGAGTTCGAAGCCAGCCTGGTCTACAAAGCTACAAAGAGAAACCGTATCCCAAAAACCAAAAGAAAAAGTAGCGTAAAATACATATGCACTTTAGATATATCATTAAAACTTGTATAGAAGACAGTGCTCAAGATTATAGTCAAAGGAGGTGACATGAAAATATGCTAGTATATTTTTTTTTAACTTTTGATTGAATGGCATTCCATTGAATGCCAGTGAAGCTTTCTGTTTGGAAACCTTTTGGCCTAGATTTCATATAGTTTCTTAATATATTGCTGACAACTGTTTCATTTTATTTGCCAGAGCTTTCTAGCTATTGAAATCTCTGCAGAAACAATTCAATATGCACTTCTGGTCACCCTACTTCCTTTGACCATGTGGCTGTTTTTAAGTGTTAATTTTGCTTCAATTTCTTGTGCAGTTTTATGTTCTTTTTGTAGCTCAATATTTGCAGCTTCACCTTCAGGAGTCTGGTTGAGTAGAAATTATTCTGACAAAAAGAATTATAACAATAAAGATATTTAAAATAAAAATTTAAAGGATAAATAATTTGAAGATTGAAAGATGTTATTCATCAATTATCTAAATCTTAACTTCAAAATACCTTGCCTACAAATGCCACTAAACACTGTAATTTTTTTAGGTGGCATTAAAGTCCTTAAGAAAAAAAAAACATGTACTTGTGCTATAGAGTGAAGAACCAGGAAATCTCAGGTCAATGAGAAATATGCACAGTTTAGGAAATGAAAATGGTTGCAGACTACATTGGCAGTCACCTCTGTTGACCTTTATCTTCTTGGTTAACTGTTAACATGTATTCTTTATAGTACTAGTACACTCTCTTACCTCTACTACAGAGAACCCCTCGTTGTTTCTTAGAGTGCAAAGGTGGATAATGGTGTCAAGGATACTATCAAGTCTATTCATCCCACTTTTACCCCTGATCTAAAATTTGAACAGAAGTTAATCTTAGGAATGTGCTAGATAAAGACATTTTGTTAGCCAAATAAACACATGCACCATTTAGGTTTTCAAGGAACAACATCTTGTAAGTGTTTTAGAATCATTGGCTCTTCAACTAAATGAAATGTTTTATATGATTTTGATACCAACTTATATAAGTCTTTGGTGGGACTCTTAGAGAGGTTCTAGGCTATTGTGTATCAAAACAAAGAATTGAGCAATGGTAGTTGCAGCTGAAGTAGAACCAGTTTATGAAGGGGCGGGGGAATATATACTTCCAACAAAGGAAGTAGGCCAGAGGAAAAAGAGCTCAGAGCTCAAATAGTCTTACTTCACTGAGGATGGGGGTTTGTGTGTCACATAGTGTGAGCTTTCTGGCTCATTTGTATAGCCTGGTCTGTTTCACACATGCTCTGTAGCATGCAGTTCTACATACAACTTCATGCATTCCAAGTCTCACTAGTATCTAAAGTCTCTGCTTGAGGAGGGTTGTTTTACAGGCCACTTTAAGCATCTGTGGAACTCTATGCCTATTCAGTATCAGGATTCTGTTGGCCTCAACTAGCAGTCCTCTTTGCCAGATAGTTTTCCTCATATGTTCACTTTTCAGCCTTTGCTGAGGCCTACTAGATCTCAGTCTCCACCCCATTCTCTGGCCTCAATTTTTAATCAAGTGTCTGAAAAACCTATCCATTATCCACCAAAGGAACTGAGTCTTTAAATAACTGAGTATAGCAAGGGGAATGCCAACATCCCAGTATATGCAGTTCATCCATCTCGGATATTTTCATACTTTGATAATTATGAGAATGGCTTTAATTTGTAATGCTTCTCATCTGAATTCAACTAGAGCTATTAAATACTTTCTCAGGATAACTTTAATTTATGTAAATATCAATGTCTAATATGAGTTTCTCAGTTGGGCATAGTAGCACACATCTGTAATCCCAGCACTTAAGATGCTGAGACAAAAAAAAAAAAAAATCAGAGTTCAAGGCCAAGCATCCATACAAAACAAGTTCTATATCAGCACAGTGGACACAGAAAGACCTGTCTCAAAGAAGCAAGTCAAAACTAAACAAATCAAAGGTTCCCTCAGGGATTTGAAAGACTGAAGCACTGTTTTTTAGAGTTATACTGAATTTTCACACAGCAAATACTAGAGAAATTGAGTATAACATTAAAATTAAAAAGTATAATACAAGATTAAAAGAA